TGGATTTAGGATTCTGAAGGGCTTTTTCACCCACAAAACATGGGGCAAAAATGTAGACTCTGACTGGGGAGAGACTCAAGGAGCCCTGGGGCTCATACTTCTTAAAATTCCCATGAGAAGGCTGACATCTGGAGACTTCTCCTGCAAGAGGGAAATAGTGAGTTCTGTAAATGGAGACTTAGGTTCCCCGCAAAGTAGAGGTGAGGCTGGGGTCACAGCTGGCCATCAAGAGACCCATCCCAAGCACTGTGACTTCCCATCTCTCCCGGTCCTCCTCCACTCTACATCTGCCCCTATCCTCCTAACCCTAGGACCAGCAGACCCAGAGCTGGAGCTTTGATGAGCAACCTGCTCACAAATCAGCCTGGAGCTGCAGTCTTGAGTGTCCAGGTGCACAGAGCTGTGCTCCAGGGCCTTTGGAAAGAGAATGTCAGTGGGACACCGGGGTGCACAAGGGTCTGTACAGTCCTGCTGCATGGCCAGGTCTGCCCCTTCCAGGACAGCACTGATGACCTGGGGTAGGGTGGGGCTGTCCTCTACACAGGCAGGAAGAGGCCAGGGACCCAGAACCACACAAGGGTGCCCTGGAGGGTTGTGTGGGAGAAGGCCAGGCCTCTGACTCAGCTGTCCACTCCATCACCAGCACCACGACCTCCATTTTGTTCACCTGGCCCCTTGAAAATACTTCACTGTGCTATCAGCCCCCGCAACGGTCATCTTTCCAGATAAAGCTGGCCTTCAGGAACTTCGCCTGGCCTGGACTGGGCGTGGAGGACCACCAGGAACTTGTCCTAGGCCAGTTGGTGCTTCCGGAGCCCAACGAGGCCAAGCCAGATGGTGAGGTGGCTTGCAGTCTGGAAGACTTTCCGGGGGTGGTGGTTTGGGGATACAATTCCCTTACATTCCATCCAGTCATTTCTGTGCTTGGAAAGCCCAGTGAAAAGTGACTGGTGGGGTGACCTTTTCCCCTTTTCCAGATCCTGCTCCACATCCTGGGCAACACGCATTAACAATGCTGGCCCTGGAGCCAGCACCACCACTGCTGGCGGACCTGGGGCCTGCTCTGGAGCCAGAATCACCTGCAGCCCTGGGTGCACCAGGATATCTACATTCAGCACCAGCACCAGCACCAGGGGAAGGGCCCCCTCCAGGGACACTGCTGGAGCCACAGTCAGCCCCAGAGTCACCATGTCCCTGTCCTGTAAAGAACCAACCCCCTGAGGAGCTGCCTGACATCACGACCTTCCCTCCCAGGCTGCTGGCAGAGCAGCTGACCCTCATGGATGCGGTGAGCAGCTGGGCTTTGCAGGCTGTGCCTCTGTCACCACCTGGCTCAGACCAGCCTCTCTCTGAGGAGCGGCCAATGCCCTGGGTCGAATGTCAGCCCCACTTCTTACCAACCACGAGACCTGGATGAGTTTCCTCACTCACAAGCCTTCCCTGTCTGCATGTGGACAGCAGAGATGGGACATCGCCCATGCCAGCTACACAGAGTGACTATGCAGACTGAATGACAGGGGATGGATCAAAAGCAGGACAGGGCAGGTGCTCACTGAGGCACAGGCAGGGCCATGGGTCACTCACCCAGCTGCTCAGGAGCCTCACTACCCTCAGTGCTTATTAGGTACCTAATGCATACTAGATTCTATGGCAGACACCCAAAGAGAGCCCATAGTTGCAGCTGCCACAAGGAAATTGCACCAGTATGGAGAGAAGGAGAAGAGGGCTGATTGGGATGGGAGGAAGACGAGGCCTTAGGACGGGCAGGCCTGAGCCACTTGGAGAAAATGTCTCTCTCTCTCCCCACTCTTGTTGGGTTCTGGGCCATAATGCATTCAGGGCCCTCGGTGGGCAGAAAATCAAACCCAGGGACTCCCACACATCTGGAGCCCATTTTAAACCTTTCTGAGCTCCACCTCGGTTCCTGCCAGAGACCATGGATGACTGTGAGCTCAGTCCCTGCCTGGGACCATGGGTGACTCAAGAGTCGGGATGTGCTCTATCCGTGATACTCTCCTCCTCCCCAAAAGGAGCTGTTCAAAAAGGTGGTGCTCTACGAATGCCTCAGCTGCATCTGGGGTCAACAAAAGAAGAAGCAGAATGAGCACGTGGCACCCACAGTTCGTGCCACCATCGCACACTTCAACAGCCTCACCAACTGTGTCACCACCTCCTGCCTCGGGGACCACAGCATGAGGGCCTGCGACAGGGCCAGGGTGGTGGAGCACTGGATCAAGGTGGCCAGGGTAAGCCATGGTTGGGCCTGAGGATTCCCTCTTTAAAAACGGGGAACCGTCTCCTCCATCGGCTTTCAGGATTGGCATCTGTATCTCTGGCCTGAGCCCTGCACATCCGCTAGGCCTTCTTGCCAGAGCTTCACTGACCTTGACACCCATGGCCCAGTGGGGGCTGCTCACTTCCGACCTGGGCTCTCCCTTGGGTTAAACTACAATCCTCCTAGATGACTGACATTCACTCGGCCCCAGGTGTGCCCTCCTGAGGCTCCCTGGGCCTTTGCTTCGACCAGGAGGGGAGATCTCAGCAGAGGGGGCTGAGGCTGAAGTGGGCCGGGCTCCAACTCTGGACCTCACAGCTCACTCTTCCCTCTCCAGGAGTGCCTAAGTCTCAACAACTTCTCCTCAGTGCACGCCATCGTCTCTGCTCTGTGCAGCAACCCAATACATCGGCTACACAAGACACGGGCAGCAGTGACCAGGTGAGGGGGGCTCTCTCCATGGGAACACCTGGGTGGACCTAGGGACCCATAGGTCTCCCCATGTGCCCTCAACGATTCTGAAAGGTTCTTGGAGAACAGGGACACTGGAGGCAGGAATGGGCTGGTGGGTGTGGTCACTAAGCTGCCCTGGACTTCTAGGCAAGGATTTCCAACTCAGGACTAAGGATTTTTAACCATCAGGAACAGACTAGAGCCAACTGGAGGGTGTCAGGTGTTTGCACCCAGCAGTGGAACTGTGTCCAGCTGGAAGCTAACTGTGAACACGCAGGGGCTCACATGAAGTGGAGATGGGCCAGGGGAGGAGCATGACACATCCCACCCTGGTCCTCTGGAGCCCTTGTCATCAGAGGACCCCACTGGAAACACTCACTCAGGAAGTTGGGATTCTCTGGGTTTTCAAACAAAACGGATTGGATTGGAACTCACAAATCTGCCCAGTTATTCCCAAATTTACCCTTCTTTCTTTCCTCTGTCCATAGCAAAAGCACAAAATATCTAAAAGAACTCTGTGAAAAAGACACTGCAGTGAAGAAGGACCTGCTGATCAAGGTACAGTGGAGTCTGGGAGATGCAGGACAAGTGTTTAAGGGTCAGAGGAAAGAGTGAGTTTGGAAGGGCATTGGACCTGGTGTGCAGTGGTTATTTTTTGTTTTGTTTTGACTTACATACTAAAAGTGGACTTGAAAAATTCCCTCCACGCCTACCTTGGGCCAACATGAAGAGAGGTGTGTGGGTCCATGGGCAGGTGGTGGCACGGGGGCGGGAGGCCCTGGTAATGGGATGTGGCAATGGCTGCTGGGCTGCGGAGTGGGGGTGATGAGTTGCAGCATTAGCAGGGCTCTGGCTCCCATGCTGGTCCATGCTGCTGGCATGGAGCTTCCTCCAGGCTGGGGGATGGTTATGGTAGGTGGGACTTTCTTCCTTCCACAAACTGGCCGGCAATTCCTGAGGAAGCCAGGCCTCTGCTGCTGCTTCTGTCTGCAGCGCATCTCCATGGGCAGGGGGCCTCTATCCGCACTGGGGGAAAGAGGGAACAACAACAGAGGAAGTTCATGTGCCAGGGAGTCCAGTGGGCCGCCCAGCTTTGGGTACCAATGGGCCTACTTGGAACAGACATATGTGTTTGCCGGGACTCCCTGCTCTGCCCTTTGCAGACACCCGAAAACAGTCATGTCACAGGATTCTCACCAGTTAGCAGATGACAAGTATCTGGGGGATTCATGCATTCCTAGGGGATCCTCCCTGACCAGATCTCAGAATCCTCCATGCAAATGAGAAGGCAACTTGTCACCCCACCCAAGATTCTGGAAAACCCAACCATGTCCATCAGAGAATGATGCCTCAGGAGGCCACTTCCTGCATGGAGGAAGAGAGTTCTGTGCACGGAACTCCCCTGGGGGATCGTTGGCGAGGCAAAACCTTTGGCATGGCTCAAACCCAGTTTGTGTGGCACAGACTCCAGTGGGGCTCAGATAGGCAGGTGCCACCTAACCAGGTCTCCTAAACCGCCCTGTCCCTTTCCCATCACGACTGTGCCTGGCTGGAGACCTAGACACTCAAGAGATTCCAGAGAACATGACCATGATGGGCGGTGGTGCTGGGATATGGGGTGAAGGCAGTGGGACAGAGCTTCCAGGATGGAGAGGAGGTGCCTTCTCTTTCGGGTCTTTGAGGAGTCATTCCCCTCATCTGGAAAATGAAGAGATGCTGAGCCTGTAGTGCAGCCCTCACAGGATGGAAATGAGATTCAAGAAAAGAAAATACTTTGCTGGCGCTCATGCCTAGTTCTTCCTCAGAGGGTCGAGGGTGAGAACAATGGCAACAGCTACAGGAAAGAGTACTCAGGTGGCCTTGTGAGGTAGCTGTGGTTTTCATTGCTCTTTACAAAAGAGGATACAGTCTCAGGCAGGCCCAGTTGCATGATTGGGTGACACACACATGGAGTGTGGAGCTGGGCCAGTGGTAACAGCACCGTGCCAGGCGACTCACACCAGTCCCTGGGGATCCAAGTGCGGGGTGGCTAGGACGTAACTGGGGGAAGGGAAGAGAGCCTCACTGTCTCCGTCACTGACACCTGGCAGGCGGGGAGCTTTAAGGTGGCCACCCAGGAGAGGAACCCCCAGAGAGCCCAGATGAGGCTGTGGAGGCAGAAGAAGGTGAGTGAGGCTTTGGCGTGGAGAGGCCGCAGGGGATCTGAGGACAGGGCTCCCTTCCCCGCCAGCTGGAGGCCTCCATGTCAAGACCACAGGGACTTCCTCCCCAGCCCTGTCCTCCTGTGGACACTGGGTCTGGAAAACCTCCATTTGAGAGACCAGAGCAAGGGTCTGGGAAAGCTGGACTCAGAGTGGATGTGGGGAAGGGTAAGGCTGGGACCACATGCCCTTGTGAATTGTTAAAATCCCTCCATAGAGGTAACTAGGAGTGCTTGCTAGACTTAGAGGTCAGCTGGGATAGAGGAGGCAGAGAATTGGGAAAGGCAGCTGAGTATCTTTGACTACTCCAACCAGGAGACCTGGAGAGGGGGGTTCTGGGAGACAGGGGCTGATGGGATTTCATGAGACAGAACCTTGGGCAGGCAACGGAGGGCCAATACTCATCACCACTACATGTACCAACTCCTCACCCATCCTTGGCACAGGGCGTGGTCCCCTTCCTGGGGGATTTTCTGACTGTGTGACAGAGGTTGGAGTCAGCCATCCCGGATGATGTGGATGTGAGTGAGCCTGGGGCAGGCTGGTTGGGAACCAGGATCCTGAGGCTTGGGAGGAGAGGGTCGTGGACCGAGCCCTTAGATCTCAGACCTTGGCAAACCACTGAGAGCCTCACAGCTGCTCCTGCAGGTGGGGGTGTCAGGCCCATCTCATCACCTTTCGGTGATGGAGGCTCCATAGCAGCCACCAGTCCCTATTCCCGAGTGGTGAAGCTACAGAGCTGCCTGACTGCAAAGATGCTGAGGTGTGGGCTGAGCTGGACTTAGCCTTTCCCTAGAGTAGTCCCGTAACAGGCCAGTGAAATTGAGCCTCTCCAAGGGCAGGCAGTTCCAGGGTCACTGAGCGCTTTCTTTCTATGAGAGATCTCAGTTTTCCTGTCTGTTATCACAGAGGGTTGGGGCAGAAAGTCCCTGAGCCTCAGCTCCTATGCCCCTGCTCTAGGGCCCGGAGCCTGGGACAGAACCAAGTCCTGTCATGTGCACATCCCCTGACTCTGGTGGCCCTGGCAGTAGTGCAGCATGGGAAGGGGTGGGGTGGGGCTGTTGTGGGCCAGGGACCTTTCTGATGGACTCTGTCTGCCTTCCAGGGCAACACCAACAAGAGAAGGAAGGTGAGCAGCTGGGGCACTCACGTTGCATGAGGGTGGGGATGTGGATGTCACAGTCCACCCTGGACACGACACTCCCTGGCTCCATCCTCTACATCTTAGGTTTACTGGGAGGGTTTGACACACACAGGAGGAGGAGACCTATCCCAGTGGAGAAA